ACCTCCTTCAGGGGAGGAGACGATCCCAACGATCCCTGAAACGGGATCGCTCCAGCCCACACACAAGGCCCCCCGATGTCTCCACTTGTATTGAAAGAGACAAACGAATACACACTCTCTCTCTGACGTCCGCTAAATCCTGAACCCTAAATTTCTGCTTCTAAACGCTGAGTGGTCTAGGGCTTAGGGTTTAGAGTTCAGCCGCGCTTCACGTTTTGTCTCTTCCACTAACGAAAACACAAATACACCCATCCCAAGCCAACAAAAGCAGCAGCGGCAGCGCCAGCTGCTGCTGTTGCAGCAGTAGCCTCAGAAACCGCAGCATTCCAAGCAGCTGCTACTTCAGCAGCAGCAGTAACCCCAGCATCGGCAGCAGCAGCGTCCCCAGCAGTAGGCCCAGCAGCAGCAGCAGCACTCTCAGCAGCAGGAGCAGCGGCAGTAGCAAAATCCTGACCTCAACAAGTACATTCCAGAGTGCAGCGCAATCCCATCTGGCTTTTTGTACAATTGCTGCTACCATTTGCTGCAGCAAATTCCCCCGCAGCAGTTGCGGTAGACCCCAAGCGAAGTACTGCATGCATCGACCCGCGAGGCTGCAGGCTAACCACTGCAACACAAACTTCAACTGAGGATCGCCACCAAAAAAACCACAACCCCAATTGCCTGCATGCGCCAGCAACAATAGCAGCAGCAGCAGGACCAACCAAAGCAACAGCCGCGGCAGCAGCAAAAGCAGTAGCAATGGCAGTAGCAGCAGCAGCAAAAACAGCGGCAGCAGCAACCGCAATAGCAAGAATAGAGATGTCGAATGAAATGGAGCAGCAGCGGGTGAAGAAGCTGCAGCAACAGCAGCCGCCAGGTAGCAGCATTTGCTGCTTCAGTGTTTTTGTGTATTTACCTGTGGTGAAGGGACGTAAGTGCGCCAATTTTCTTCCTGCTGCTGCACTTCCTGCTACTGCAGCTCCTGCTGCAGCAGCTTCTGTTGCATCCGCTCCTGCTGCAGTGTGGCTGTTGTATGTGATGTGGTATTCAACGGGAAGGTGGAGCGCAGCGGAGACTTTTTGTATTTCTCTTAGCATTAGGGGGACGGAAAACTGCTGCACTCGCGGCAGCACTTCTTTTGCTGCTGCTTGCGTGCTGTTAGCAACATCAGGCATATCCTCTGCTGCTGCTGCTGCATCTGCTGCTGCTTCTGCTTGTGCAGATCGGGAAGCCCCAAAACGGGCAGCATCGAAAACAGCTACCAGAGAGGCGCACTGCACCCGCAGCAGTGGACGATCCAGGCGAGGATGCCCTTGTTGCTGTCTTGCTGCTGATGTTGTTGCTGTTGATGCTGCTACTGCTGTTGTCACTGTCTCCGTCTCTATCTTTGTTTCTGATTCCGGTTTTGTATGTACGTGTGGATGTTGGGAGTTATGCTGCTGGCTGCTGCACCGGTATGCATGCGCTGGCAGCAGCCACTGCAGCAGCAGCGGGGTCGAGTCTAGGGCTTCCACGCCTTCTATCCCCTCCCACTCATTTGCTGCTGCTACTGCTTCTGCTGCTGTTGCTGCTGCTTCTGCTGCTGCTGCCGCTGTCTCCTCTGAATCGAGAGACAGCAGCAAACGGCCCCTTGCAGCTGCAGGGCCCGTAGCCAGTTCCACTCTCCCAGCAGTTCCCGCTGGTGCTGTTGCTGCTGCTGCTGTGTCTCCACCTGTCTGTTCCTGCTGCTGCTGTCCAGTTAGAGGTCCCCTGCTGCTCTTGCTGCGGCTTGTGCTGCTGCTTCTGCTGCTGCTGCTGGTTCGTTTGTTGAGGAGACACCTGAAGGTGGCAGCATATCCTCTGTAATCGGAGAATCGGAGACAACCAAATGCATGCGCTGCTTCGCCTCGACGCAGATGCTGCGATAGAGGCCGCAACAGCAGCAGCTCGGGGCAGACAGAAAAAAATATTTCTTCTTGCAGCGCCCCTAAACACATAGAGAAACAAATTGAGGTGTACAGACACGTCAAGCAACAGCAATGACAGCAGCAACAACAGCAACAGCAACGGACAGAAACCACAGCAGCAGCAAACACAGCAGCAGCAGCAGCAGCCAGCAGCCACAGCAGCACCAGCGTAAGCAGAAAAGAGAGCAGCAGTGGCAGCAGCACCAGCAATATCCAGGAGCCCCAGAACCGTCAAAGAAAACAGCCACAGCAGCAGCAAAGCAGCAGCCACAGTAGCAGCAACAACAACAAAGAAGACAGAAGGAGCAGGAGCAAAGAAAGCAGCAGCAGCAGCAACAGCAGCAGCAAGGGAAGAAGCAGAAGGACTGACAACAGCAGGAGCAAAAGCACTAGCAGCAACAGCAGCAGCAAAGGAACCACCGGGAGCAGCAGAGAGAGCAGCAACACCAGCAACAAGGAAAGCAACAGCAGCAGCAGCAGCAAGCTACCGTGGTATAGAATGCCTCCTCCAATGATTTTGTTTGCGAAGTCCGCGCGGACATCGACGTCACCGCTGGCGGGGATGCCGCCTCCATTTGTTGCCGTTGCAACAATCTGAGGAACCAGCAGCCGCTGCTGCTGCTGCAGTGCTACTGTCTCCGCGCTGCAGCAGCAGGGCTCGGCCTGAGCCCGAGAGAAGCGGAGACACCGCAGCAAGAAACAGCAGGGAAAACGAACTGCCCATACACCCCGAACAGGAACTGAACACAACACAGAAGGGCCCCATACAAAGCCCTCTCGTACTTCTATCGCGCTGCTTCTGCTGCTGCTCGCTCCAGGTTGCTGCTTCTGCTGCAGAGTTTCGGCTGTTGCACGAGGTGTTCGTAGCACTGCTGGGTCTGCTGCAGCACTACCTAACTCAGCACCAGTGGCAGCAGCAGCAGTAGCAGCGGTACGCGCAGCAGCAACAGCAGCAGCAGTATCTTCGGACACAAATGCCTGTATTTCTTCTTCTAGTAGCAGGGACAGCTTAGCGGCTGTCTCTTCCTCTCTGCTGTCTCTGCAACAGAGATGAGCAGCATGAGGAGGAGAAAAAGAAAAAGAGGGTATATGGTTTATATTACATTTATGATGAAAGGCATCTGCTGCTGCTGCCATGCAGCAGCAATACCTGCAGCAAAATGAGCACACAGCAGCAAATATCCTGCTGCAACAAATCGTGCTCAGACTCCCGCTGCTGCTGCTGCTAGTCCTGCTCCTGCTGCTCCTGTTGCTGTTGCAGCAGTGCGCACCAGCTGCTGCATTGCCGCTGGACAAAAACCGTGACCTTGCTGCTGCTGCTAGTCGTTCTGCTGCTGCTGCTGCTACAGACACTGTAGCCTCTCCTCACCTAACGAAGCAGTGCAATTTGGCAGCCTGGTTCTGAGCTGCAGCAGAAAGGAACAGCAGCAACAGCAACAGCAGCAATAGCAACAGCAGCAGCAACGCAGACACACGGCTCAAAGAACCGTCTACAAGTCGCAGTACCCCAAAAGGGCTCCCCTTGGGGGCCCTGGGGGCCCCTTTTGCAGCTGAACGGGAGGCGAAAGACAAAGCAAATAATGCAGCAACCCGCTAAAGGCAGTCATGGAAACAAAGGAAGGAAGCCCAGCAGAAGCAGCAGCAGCACCAGCATTTACAGCAGCAACAGCAGCAGCAACTGTAGCAGTCACAGCAGCCGTCATAGCAGGAGTCGCAACAGCAGCCGTCGCTAAAATAGCGACAGTAGTCACAGTAGCAGGAGCAGGCAGCAGCAGCACTTTACTTGTTAAGTCGTAGAAATCGGCGAATGATATATCCCCTAGATTAGGAAGGCCTGCAGCAGATTGCTGCCATTGCGGCAGCGGCAGCAAACCCAGAAATCCCAAGCCAAACAACACCCAGCCTTCGCCTGCGCTTAACTCTGCTGCTGAGCTGCTCACGTGCTGCTCCCCGACACTCCTGCTGCAACTGCTGCGGCTGACCCTACTGATCCTGCTGCTGCAGGCGCCGCTGCTGCAGTGCTTGTAGAGCTGCAGCCTCAAGCGACAAGACCCACACAGGCAAGGACGCAACCTTGTCCCCTCTGATGGGGTGTCCGTTGCTGCTGGTGTTGCTGCTGTTGCGGCTGCTGTGGCTGCTGATTTTGAGGTGTACGTACACCTAGGGAATATCTGGTCGACAGCCAGCACTGCCTTCAACAGCAAGGGGAGAGCGCTGGAGAAGAAGGGGTTTGTTGCTGCTGCAGGCACATCAGCAAACAGCCTCTCTACGTTGTAGTAGGCCCTCGGACTGAGGCGAGGCGGCGGTGGTAGGTGCAACTGCTGCTGCTGCAGTTGCTGCTGTGGCTGCAGTTCCTGCTGTTGGCTTGCCGCTGTCTGGGTTGTGAGGGCTCCCTGGTGCAGCAAAGAGATGCGCTCGAGGTACCCCTGGTGTATTGCCTCTTGTATATCTCTCAGTAGCTTCTGCAGCCTCGCTGCACTGAAGGGGTTTGGTGCTGCTGCTGCTGCAGGGGAACCTCCCCCTTCCCCTGGGGACCCCCCTGCAGCAGGACCAAGAGAGGCCCTTAAGACTGCAGCCGCTCGCTGCCATTCTAGGGGTGGCTGGAGATGGTGCAGCAGCAGCAACACCGGCTGATGAGGGGCCCACCGTCCCGTTGTCTCTGCTTCAGTACCCATCATCGGGGCCGTTCAGAGCGGGCTCCCCCAACCACCTTGCTTAAGGGGGGCCCTGCTGCGTTGTTTGCTGCTTTACGAAGGACCCCAGGCTAGGGTTCATCCCGCTTCTTAGCCGGAGCACAGCTGCAGGGGGCCCCCTTAGTGTGGAGGCCCTCTTAAGTTGATTCGTGATCAGCGGGTGCAGAAGCAGTAGCTCGTAGAGGCAGGGGGCCCCTGTTGTATGCGTGTAGAGCTTTATCTGTCTTCCTCGTCCTGTTCTGGTTTCGATTTACCCCAAAATCCCAGAGCTTTACCTCCTCATATCGCCGCACCATGCAAGAAACTTGAAATACAAAGAACATTTTATTGCGTCTGTAATTAAACCAATTACATAAATCATTCACTGTGTTACAGTCCTTCACTGCACACAGGGGGGCCCGGCTCGCGGGGGGGCCCCTAGGCATGCCGCCATCGCGCTGGGGCCCCTGGGGCAGGCCCCCCTAGAGGGGGGGCCTGTAGGAAGAGCAGTTCAAGATGACAGAGGAGCTGTTGCACCGTCTTTTGTTTGTGTTAACGAGGTGTATAGGGAGGTAATAGATTAAGGAAGGGCTCTGACGTCACAGATCCTACAGGGAAACCCCAACGCTGCAGCAGACTTAGCTGCCGTTGCCGCTGCTGCTGATGCTGCTGCTGCTTCTGTTGCTGCATGGAAGCTGACACCGTGCTGGGATATATAGGCAAGCACTGACGTATGGTCGTCTGTTGCAATGAATGCCCTCCTGGCAGCTCATTGTGCAGCTCTGTGGCGGAGCAGCACTTGCTGCTGTTGGTGGTGCTGCTGCTGCTGTTGCTGCTACTGCTACTGCTGCTAACAGGTGCCAGCTGTACTAAGGGGCGTGTCTATTGCTCAACTTACCTATGATCAATTGCCCGTATTCCGCATGCACACGAAGAAGGCAAAGGCAGGCGCAGACAGGCATTCGTACGTGCATGCGCTGCCATTGCCGTTTGGGGTTGTCTATACAGTGGAGTGTCTAGTAGCCTTTGGTTGTTACCAGTGAGCTGTATGTGTCGGTGTTTTGTTTATCTTTCCTCCTGGCTTTGCTGTTTAGGGCTTCTTAGTGTTTCTCAGGTATTCTCTCTCTACTGAATC